GGGGGGTGTTGGGCATGAGGTAGAGGGGCGGGCAGTGGGGAGGGGGGGGAGAAATATCAGATACTCTTAGCAGAGCAATCTGGATAATGGCAAACAGGTTTTACAATAGACCTTCCCCATCTGATACCCTGCAAGTGTACTGAGGTTGCCATTCCCCAAATTCTTAGCCAGTCATTTTTATCATTACATTTGATGGGAAAGAATTGCTTCCATTATACCCCCCACCCCATGAAACAGAAGACAGCAGGCATTGATGTAATTCTAAAACATCCTGACCATGAGACAGAAGAGTAGAAGCTACTTTCACTGGGGAAAAACACTTCTGAAGATTGGAAAACAGATTTCACCATGACATTATGAACAGATGATGTACATGCCATTGTGCTTACTACAAATACTAAAAGAATACGCTGTGCCATTGTAATAAGGGCTGATCTTGTCTTTATTTTAATATGCCATTGGAGTTGTTGATGTAGTGTCTTATTTATTTAATTAGATATGTAGATAAATGCACATCTCTATCATCCTTAAACTTCATTCCCAGGATATGGAGGAGAAATAAATTTGTCCCAGTCAAAATGGTAATTTAATATATGTTTTATATTATTATTAATTTTTATACCACAGGCTAACATCACATTTCTGCTCATAAATCAATGAGTCTGTGACCAGCTTAATTTCTGAAATGTAAGTTTCCCTTCCTGTTTGCCATCAATTTTATTTTTTAAAAAGCGATACCAGAGTAATTAAAGGCTGCAGCAGGAAACAGGAATATAAAAATCACTTCAAAGGCTCTGATCTACAAAAGCTTATGGCGGCTATATATTGTTAGCCTTTAATGTTATCTTGACACTAACACTGAATTTCAAATGAGGAGTTGACCTGAGAAGTTATAGTGTGATGAGTTACAAGTTACCTTCTTTCAGAGTCAGGACCCATTTTTGGCAGCTCGCTAGGTTGGGAGCAAAGATGTAGAGCATATAGCTGTCATGAAAAATCTGTGATGAGAGGAAAAAGGGATTAGAGTAAATTCTAAACCAAACAGGAACAGCCCTCTCTGAATATTTTCTGAAATGCTGTTAGAAGGAAAAAATGAACTTGTATTAATAAATAATAAATAATCTAATTTATTGCCAGATTATCAACAGCTCTATTACTTTAAACATTTTGCCAAGTGAACATTATACTAGTTCTTGTTCTGATCTATCTATCTATCTATCTATCTATCTATCTATCTATCTATCTATCTATCTATGTGTGTGTGTGTGTAATGAATATATGACATACATTTGCGCAGAATGGATAAAACATAATAAAAAGCACTGAAGACCCATTACTAGGTCTTATGCTCAGCAAAATTTTAACAGATTTCCACAGACTGTGATAGAATCTTGCTTTTTAAATAAATAAATAATAAACCAACCTAGCTGAGGTTCTAAAAGTCCTAATGCTCCATCAAAGATTCACATCTGTACCTGTCCTGTAAGAAACAGGAACCACAAACTGCCTCTATTCTGATCTGTATCACTAGGCTCAAACAAATGGTTTTCTTGATGTTACTATATTTATAGCACATGGTGGATTTTTCATCCCACTGACAAACAGGAAGCTAACATTTCGGCTGCAGCTAAGAAGAAATTAATTTCACATGCCTTTCACATTATTACATGTCTGGCTTGTTTCGCTGCTACCCACTCAAAAGAACTCCCATATTTCTCAGAAGAAAGCAAAGGGTTTCTCCCCCAGTCAATTACCTGTGATTAGGGATGGGGTGGGGAAGGGAAAACTTTCTTTCTAGAGCAAAATGCTATTGGAGGTATGCAAAGTAGTGGCTGTGATGGAATGGAATTATGAAGGCCAGGCTCATGGAGATAAGCATTTTCTTAGCTCGCCAGAAGAGCATGGGAGGAACAAGAGGATGAGACTGGCACCTCCCTGAGGAATTCACACTGTTGTGGCTGACTGACTTGGGGGCTGGGGGTTCAATCTGGGAAGATTCTTGCTAGAGGTTGTGGTTAATAAATTTAGCTGGACTGAATTGGCATGGTCTCTTGGAGTTCCGTGGGCTAGGCCTGACATCGGCAGATGAAAATAATGGAAGCAAGTGGCTGGAGCAGAGAAAGGAAGTTGGAAGAAGACAATGGATACCCTAATCCCTGCCTCCATGTAGAGTCTGTGTATAAAACTAAGTCTGATATACTACTCTAAATTTTGGTCAGAAAGGGGTCGTACAAAGCGGCAGGATCCTTTTTAAAAATAAATATTAGCATCAAAAATAGAAACAATTCTGAAAATGCTGGAAGCTGCTTTTGGTGTAATTTCCCTCTCGCCCCCTATACAATTTTTATCCCTTAAATCTTTTGACCAGTTAAAAAGTATTAAGCTTGACCTATAAATTAGATACAGTGGTTGTGTTTAGGGTAATTGTAATGGCATGTGTACATTACTTACCTGGAAAGGGTATTTATAGTGACATGGAACTGGGATGTCACTTTTCACAAGTTCTACACATTTAATCTTGGATAGTTCAACTGAACCCTTTAGAATTCTTTTTTTCTAAGAGAAAAAAGGAAAAGAAAATACAACGTACAATTAGGGTCCATGATCATTGCCTATTTGGTGTTGACATTACATTATTAAATCTTCAAATATTTGTGTGTGGAAAGTATTTAGCAAGGGAAGTGAAAACAATCTATGACATGTTATGATTTTTGGTAAAAAACAACAAAAAAAGAGAAGATCTGGAGAGAAAGAAATCTCCAGGGAAATGTCTAATTAAATTTCTGAACATGCAGCTGACTTATTTCCTGAGAAACAGTTTTTTTCCCCTCTCTTTTTCCTTGGTGGATCAAGGAAGCATCAATGGATTGGCTTGTATATTTTGTTATAAAAGCTGCATTGAATAGGAAGCCAAAAACCAACAACTATAATAACTCTGCTGTCCATTAATGCCTTGCTTTGAATGATTCTCAACCCTCTTTGAAAGTAAGTAATTTCCTGCTCTGATTCTTCTACAGATGAGATGGAACACTTTTTGCTATTCATTTCAGAGAGAGCTTAAATCTGGACTTTTAGGCATAATTCTCATAATGCGACAAACAATAGACAGGGAGGTAAAATTCACTTTGGGGTTACGCAAGATGGGGGCTACCATGTTTAGATGTGTTCTATAAAAATAAAATCTATCACGTAGAAAGCTACTATACCACAAAAAAGACTGGCCTAGAAAATGTGGATGACCATTAGATGGAAGCTATTTATTTATTTGTTTGTTTGATTACCAATGCTTTTATGCCTCTTCAGTCAAAAACAAATCTAAGCAGCTTACAAAAATGATACATAATTAATTATGCAATTCCTAAGGAATGACATTATCATACAATCACAAGAAGACCACATCATTAGCAGCACCCGCACACATTCTAGGTACCTTTGTCTTCCATGTCTCATCTTCTATAGACTAGCAACGAGGATGCCAGTCTTATTTCTGGGGGAAGCCAACTGCACAGAAGAGTACTCCAGCAGAGAATACTTGCTTCCAAGTCCCCCCATGGGGCCTCATGAAGTGGGGCAAGGACTCAGCATAGTTTTCTAATGGCACACTTTGGATGGCAGATTCTAGAGTTAGGTATAACATCTACTTTTCTAAGTTTGGTGAAAGATTTTAGTATGGAGGTATAATCAAATCATGATATCCTCCATTTGGTTCTTTTTTTACTGGCACCTTCTTCATTTCAATTATTCTGATTATTTTAAGGAGCATACTGGGCTCTCATATTTTCACAAATGGCAAATGAAGATGTAAGCCTACTTTGAGGCTGTTCTTCTGGATATTGCAGATAGCTCAGGTTCAGAATAGGTTTACCCTGACCTTACCTGCCATATTATGTATTTATTACAATTATTTGTATGCTGCCTACTCAAGAGGCTCTAGGAAGATTACAATAATACATTAAAATTATCTATAAAATTCAAAATACTAAAAACATTACACCTTAATATAAGGTAAAGGGTAAGTTAAATTGTGAGAATTCAGCAAGAACGTTTAATAATATTATGGGTGGGATATGCTAAATACTATTCCCCTGCCCTCACCAGCATCTCCAAACATCCAGATAGAATGAGGTACCATCATAGGTTCTCCAGTCAGCCCCTACCACATATAATCAGATATACAGTATTCTCTGGTCCTTAATAATCCACTGACATTTCAAAAACAAAAGTTTCATGGGTGGCTGGTAGCTTCTTGAATTGTACCTTAGTTACAAGGTGTCTGAGAGTGTCTTTCATTCTACAACTATCTCATCAGCAGCCTAGAGCATCTCTGTTTTCTAACACTTTAATTAATTCCAAAGAAAATATATCCCATGGGAATCTGTTATTACACATCAAATATCCTTATGTTTATTTTCTCTAAGCCGTGAATAAGAATAATCACTACTTTAACTTTTAAATTTACCAAAATCCTTTCTCTAGCCTTTATATGTTTTTGTCTTTTATTGCTGAACTATGTATTTTGTTTTGTTTTGTTCTGTTTTGTTTTGTTTTATTTTTAATATTTATTCTTTACTTCCTGGTTCTTATTGTAGCATTTTCTTTGCTTTTATTACTTGCTTTTGTCTACCTATCGCCCTGGTATTTCCTGCTTTTTTATTGTTAATATAGTGAAATACAAAAGAAAAAAGTCTACACTGAATAGTGATAATATGTACAGTGAAGAAAAAAACCCTAAATATATTATAAAGATTAAATGAACTAGACAACAAAAACAAATGATCCATATAAAAATCATAAATACCTATATGGAATTAATTCAAATGTTGAGCTTATCATTAAATCTGGACTATATCGAAACCTAATGTCATCTTCTCGTTTTTAGAGCACAAACACTTTTCAAAAATAGATTACAAGTTCAAAACCTGGATCCGTTCCTTAAAAGACGGAGAATAATTTTTAATTGACATAGAATTATTCCCTTTGTTGCACCCCAAGGTCTCTAAAAAGAAAGGCCTTTATAATATGACCAATTCCATATTTTAGGAATACAATTCAACATTACATTGAGATACTTAAATATACAATTTCTTCCCAAAATTATATTAATATATGTATAATTTGAAATAAAAAGCTATAGTAGAACCAGACCAAATCATGTGAATTAAAGAATCTTCAAATTTCTTACATCACTAACATAAGAAGTTATAATATCTATCCATTTTTAAACATTCATTGAGGGTTCAAATATACTTGAAATACTATTGTCTGATGAATTAATTTCATTTTTAAATCATAAGAAGTATATTTCACTATTTTAAACAGCTGGACCCACTGATTTTCCAAAATTGGTTATTTTAATTCTTCTTTCCACAGTTACATAAGAAATATTTTCATTTACCTTTTTTATATCTTTTAAAATTGAATTGTTGGTTTCTATTTAAGTGCAGCATCTCTTAAAGAAGCCAAAAGTCCATGTGCCTTAGAAGCTATTAGCACATCCAGGTCATACTGTTTAGTTGGTACATGTTGTATATATTGCCAAGTGTATACTGAAAGCAAGTCAAACTCAAAAGACAATCTTTCAAAATCTTCACAAAAACCATTAAAAAATCAACTGGTTTAAAGTATTTCAATAAAATATCTTCCCCACTATTTTCACATTTAGCCCTGATATTTCCTGATGATTCAAGTACTTATCTCGCTTGACACAATTTAGCTCCTGAGTCCAGATAAGATTGACCAATGCTGTTGCCAGCTGAAATATCACACAATATTTTGTACTAATTCAGGCTCCCCCAGCATTCCCAACCTTTTAAAAACTACAATAGCCTGGATGCTTTTATCTATGCTCTGGGAACAACTAGATTAATCTTTTGCAATAAATTGTAAAGCAGCGTGCCTTTGAAGTTTGTTTTTGCAACTCATGTAAGATGCAGCAAAAAGAGTTCTAACCTGGTCAGATAATAAGTTACCTGTTGTAGTATAGCTGTTGTGGTTTCATGTTAATTTCCAGGAAAAACACAAGTGGCCATTTTTAAGCTTTCAGGCTACATGCAGCTTGTGACTTGGGTTCTTAACATCCTTTCATATGAACCTACTGGCCTGTTAGGTTTGGCATTACAGTAAAGGCCTTTTCAGAAATCCCTGCAAATACTCTCCTTAGGAGGATCTGCCTGAAGCCTAGTATGATATGTTTTAAAGATAGTTGGTTTTTTTGTAAGTGTCCAGAGCTTTAACAAATGTATACTGTGCTTAGGTATCGATTTTGTTGATATTTTTATTTGATTTATTTTTTATAGCTCATTATTATAATAGCTCTTTATATGTCATCTTAAACTATTTATAAGCCACCTTGAATGTCTAGATTTAAACTAAACTAAACAAAGATGGCCTATGAAAAAAATATCCAAATCATCCAACCAGGATGACAAAATACAAAAAGTAGGGGATGAGGAATAACTAGAAACGTTGGCCTGATATAGTCACCTTAACATCTGTAGTTTAAAATCAATCTCATGACAGATTGAAGACTGAATGCAGTTGTCAAAAATAAAAGCTGCATTTGCAGGTATTAAACTATAATTGCCAATAACTATTCCGAGACAAAGAAATTAGAGCTGAACCTCCAGCCCATGAAAATACAAGACCAGCTGAATCTCAGTCTTTTCAGTAGTAAATCACAGTGGAGCCCAGCTGTTGCTGTGTCAATATAAGAATTCCCCCTGGGAGGATTTGTTGTTTAGATTTGCTTTACTACCTTATTAGGTTTGCTGCTGGTTACTAAATTTGTGGCTATCTGGCTACAGGAATCTACCAGCCAAAATTAAAGCTGGACTGTGACATGAACACACCTCCCTGAAAAGTGGTTGTACGGGAAGGTTATAAATATTACCCACCCTGTTGATGTGACCAGAGTAGGACATTTAAGGAGGTACCATTTGATGGTACGGAACACAATAAATTAAGCTGCATAAATCATGATCTTGGCACAAAAAAGTCAAATGATAGGAGCCTAGGAATATAATTTATATAGCCAGGATGTTTTGTAAACAACTAAAGAAGAAAGTCTCTCTAGTAAAGCAAGCAGTAAAAACAGCAAAGGGGGAAAAAAATGACAGTTTTTAAATATCTCCCTTGTACTTCACTTTTCTCTTCCCCATTCCATAGCCAAACGTAATCCTTCATAATTGTAGAAAGGTATCTACTGTGTGTGAGAGAGAATAAATACAGAATTTATTTATTTAGGAGCCTTTCCCCACTGCTGAGTTAATTTCCGTCTTTGAGTTGGCACAAAACTATACCAGTATAACATCTGTAGCACCCATGGCTGATTTCTATTCATAGAGGACATAAGGAATGGCCTTGAAGACTGGAGGAAGAGCCACTACCAAGGCAATGGTCAGATAAGCAGGGCTTGAGTCCAGGCCAAGAAAATAACTAGAGAAAACTGCCTCAGGCCCTCTCTAGTTCACACAAAGATAAAGTAAGGGAGGGAGAAGCACGTTCAGACTTGCAAGATTCTGTTCCTGTAGCTGTTCAAGTAAAAATAGTCCTGACCT